CCCGCCCACCCGCCCACGCACGCACGCATGCTGAAGTATAGCGACCTCCCGAATCCCAACACTACCGGCCTTCGACTCTCCGAGAAACCCGCTAATATTCAACTTGCGATAGGAGGCCGGACTTGACACCCAGAGAACCCGAGCCAAAATCACCAAACTCGTGCAAACCGGAAATCTCCTCCTCGGTGTTGAAGTTCTTCCTCGCTTTGCCGGCGGTGGGTAGAACTCACGCTCTTTTGCCGAGACTTCGTAAGAGCGCAGAGCTCCATAGAATCCGTGAAATCTCCAAGTGTTGCTACGAGAACCGACTCTGAGAGCTGCAAAACCCCCGACTTTGCAGCCCAAGTTGCAGCTCACCGGATGTGTGCACGGATCCGACAGGCAGGTGGGCCGCCTCCTTGTAAGCAACTCTCGGCGACTTCAGGTCATAAACACAAAGGCCTCCTTCATGGAGGTCCCTACAGCATCATCCATTGGGACGCATACGCCCCGCACTTCAATTTACTTAAACTCCTTCCGACAGTCTCTCAGTCGAGACAGCCGGTCCCTTCCGCATGAGAGACATCGGAAGAACGCAGTCTTATAGGCCCTGGCTGCACTGATGCTAACCCGAACTGCTCGAAAGCCTCCCATGCCCTACACCCCAAAATATTATATTCTACTATATTATACTCTATTATATTATNNAGGCGCCGGGGGAGCTTGCGCCTTCAGGCGGCGGAGGAGGCGAGCTGGGAAACTCGCCGAGTTCGTGCTCTAATATATTCTTATACTATTATATATTATACTCGATTGTATTATACTCTATTATATTATACTATATATAATTATATTAAAGCATCTCAAACCTGAAAGCGCTCCTCGAAGGCATCCTTCTGGAAGTAGCACTTCGCCGGTACACCGGCTGCCTTCAGTGGCTAAGGGCGTACGTCGTTCTTTGTTGAGCTCCCTGGAGGCCTGTCGTAATCATAAAAACAGTACCAACAATACTAATTCAAGGTTTGGGGCCCGAAATTCCGGGCTCCGTTTGGCTCTTCCCTACTTTTCAGGGTATGGCGTTTTCCGGGTGGTCAACTACCATATCTCTCTGTTCACACCTCGCCAAGCCGCTTGGGAAGCCTCAAAGTAGGCTGTGAGCGGGACGTTCGAGGAGTCCAGACCTCGATATATATATATATATGTGTTATTATTTATGTATCTCTCCTTCCTTCAGGACCAAGCTGCCGGGGGCTTACGGAGGTTTGTGGCTTCATGCGTCTTGTCACGCGACAGAAGATGGTTTCAACGTGGCCTCGAACTGACTTTCAAAGGCTTGAAAACCGTATTTCACGCCTGGAATTCTGGAAGCCTCACTCTACCACTGGGGCCTTGATAAAGAGAGTTGGAGTGTGGGGAGATTATATAATATACCATGCAGTAGCCCCCATCGGCCAAAACATATTGCATCCGGGAGGCGCCATACATCCAGCTTTCGGCGACTAAGCTCCTTTCAGGACACACGAATGTGAACATGCACTCAGATCACAGTTTCAGACAATGGGAGCAATTGAAGACACTGTCTACTGGAATTGCTAGAACTCTTACTATAGGAGCCTAAATAAACTCCCAAATTCGAAGAGCCCCCGCCTTTTCCCAATACAGCCTTGGGCCGAAGAACAGATTCAGTCTCTTTTTTCAACAGCGGTTCGATCGCCCCGCAGCTCGGACCCAATGTACAAGATGCTGGGGCTAGGGTTTTGGCTGCAGGGTCATAAGTACTTTGTGGGATGATGATGATGATGACCAGTACAATAGATGTAGAAAGCTGTAGTTTTATGCGCTTGTTGCTGGCCGCAGTTCCAGTGTTCTTCTGTTGTTGCTACTAATTAGCATGGCTATTGTTACGTAGTTTCACTCGTCTATGAAAAAGAAAAACGATTCTCGTTATTGGCTTTCTTCGTCTTACCATGATTGGAGTATGTATGCACCCGTGTTATGTATGTACCCGTGTCAACACTAGTATCATCCTGCATGCTGTCATGATGATTACGCCCTCACTTAACAATATAGACGGCACCATCATAGTTAGCATGGCATTGGGGATGTTGCTATTGTTGTTCTTGCTACACTGTATACAACTACATTATTGTTCTTCTTGCGGCTGCAACTATGTTCGTGACTTTGAACATTAGTATGAAAAAAATACTCGTGTGCTAGACCATTGTTGCTCGCACTAGCATGACGATCATGACAATGAGTATGGTCACGGCTATGACTACCAATAAGTCAGACCCTTATGCTGGCCAGAGATCCTGCCAAAAGCCGATGTCTGGGGCCGGGATCAAAGCCTCGAAGTCCTGGGAAGACGGCTTTAGGACGGTTTGGGTGCACGGGCTTTTATCGTTTCTCACGGCTTGGGCAGAGCTGACTGAGCGTAGATGAGCTTTGGGTCTCAGATTTGAAGCTTCAAGGACGGTGCTTGTTTGACTTTCTTTCATCGGCGATGGTGAAGCATGAGACTACGTAGTAAGGCTAGTAAGATAAAGAAGGAATGAACTCAGATCACAACATAGAGCTTCGCCCTCAAGGTCCTGTAGCCACCGATGGATACCAAACCATGACCTCTGTCCCCGAGGGGCTAAAAATCTCTTGTCGACCACTCTCAGCACCAGCACCAGCACCAGCACCAGCACCGGCACCACCCGGGTCACCACGCTGCAACTGTCACAATGTAGTAAAGCTAATATATGGCGACGACGAGCAATTCGCATCACTACCAAAACCAGCATCATCATCATCATCTTCTTCTTTGTCACGATCGGCAAATTCTTCGTCGACAGCATCAGATCATCATCACAACATGGAGCAGCAAGCCCAAGACAGCGCTTCAGTCAAGTCTCCCTGGGTGGTCCCTGGCCGCCGGGGCGCGCCATGGCTGAGCACTCGGGCCAGGGTGGATGGGAGAAGTCTACGACAGGATGTACGGTAGGCTTTTGGATTTAGGCTTGGTGGCTTTGTGCCTTTTGGGTGAAGTGTGGTTTCAGGTTTCATAGTTTCATGCGTCAGATACTGTCACTTATTTTGGTAAGCAAAGCAGCGGCTCCAGCATCAAATAGAATCTGCCCCAGGCCACCTGCAGTCGAGGATGCGTCCTAGGTGCAGCTGCGTCAACGACTCCTTGCGCTAGGGGATGATTATAGCCATAGCTGTTGCGTGATTGTTTCGACATTTTGCTTCTCATCATCATCGCTGTCCCAAAGCTGCAGATGACATCTGCGTTCCCTTCTTCTTAGGCCTTGCGGGCCCCGAACCTTCAGACTAGTTAAGCCTAAAACCCTGCATCTTATAAACTCTAAACCCTATTTCAACTCCTCGAGATGCAAATTTTAACATCCTCAAGCCCCAACCCAAACCCTGAGGTGAGGCCTACGAGCCAAAAACCAAGGGATCCCGAGCACTCGAGAGCTTTGGGCCTTTTCCCTGTCTCTGCGCTGGGATGGGTGCTCTTCGCCGCGGCATCATGCTGCGAGCCGGCGGGGCAGCCAGCAACCTTTCACCGAACGTAGGGCGGTTGAAGGCCTAGGTCTAGGTTTTGTATGTGGGAGGGCCTTCTAAGGTTTAGGGTTTAGGGTTTCAGTGTGGGGCCTTTAGGGTGTAATGACCCTGTAGGATTGCTGGCCAGTGCAGGTGGCGACAGGGCCTCTCGATCTCAATTCCATAATCTCTAATTATCTGATTGTGCCTCCGGATCTCTGGGAAACATGACCCGATGAGCTCTGCCGTTGGAGGTCTGAACATATAGGTGGAGCAAGTTCCTGGAAGCCGCGCAAGTTGCAGTCCATGGCCTATTTTCGTCCTTGGAGCCGACTGCAGGACGTTTGATGATGCTCAAACCCTAAACCCCGAAATCCTAAACCCTATATAAACCCTAAATCCTGCAGATCCCAGGAGCCTCGCACATGTGCGGCATGGCTTGGTCGTTCACGAACAGGTTGACGGCCTATGAAGGTCAAACGCACTTTCTCACCAGCCGCTCGATCCGAACTGGCATAGCCTATACCGTAGACTACTAACTATGCACAGAGAGCCTTTAGGACAGTATCATATCCACATCCGCCGTGATGCAAATCATGAACGAGCTCGAAGGTGCTTCAGAACCCTCTAGAAATCTGTACTTGCGCCACACTTCAAAAGGCAAGCCACTCCCATGCCTAAAGGCATTTACGTCTTCTAAAAAAAGAAACCACATCTCTGGCCTTCTGTGTCCGCAAGGCTGAAACTGCGAGCAAGCCCCCTGGGCAGTACTTTGAAGTGGTAGGAGTCGGGAAGAATCTAAAAGCTCGACGACGTCAACAAACAAAAACCACGCCCTGAAACCCCTAAACCCGACGGCCAAGGGCTGGCACACCTCCTGCTTGACAAGAAAATCATATGAATTGCTCAAGAATAAATATTGAATAGACCTCGTGGGCATACGACGCAAAATATCGATTGCACGACGGTCTGACGTGCGGTGGCACAAACCACTGTCAAACCACTGCCCAGCTGTGGCCATGGGACCACAAGCCGCGCGCAGGAGGAGGATGCACCCACCTCACAGGCGAACCCGATTGATGCAGGAACCTAAAACATCGGTACCAGTAGCAATAGTCCTTTGCTGTCTCTACATAGTAGCAACATCATGTAAAACAACATACACACACACACACCCCACTGTCGTCCATGTGTTGGCTTCCGGTTCAAGCAAGCCTCAGACAAATGATGTGGCCAAAACAAAACCAAAACTCCAACTCGCAAAGAGATCTTGATGTGATTTACATAAGTCCTAAGCACCCCCGCACAAGCCGAAGCTCAGCAGACCATGCTTGATCGAAAGCGGATACAAGCCTGTTTTTGCTTACTTACCGAAAACCATAGAAAAAGGGACTAAAACATCAAGAAACAACTCCCAGAGTCTCTCTCTCTGCCAAAAAAAACGCCTCTCGCCAGCTCTGCTGCCAAAATGCTATCCCTGAATCCTACATTGCCGTGCAACCCCCGTTTTCAACCGAACTCATGAAACCCGTTTGGTCAGATCCCTGTGTAACTTGGCCACCAGGGCCCAAGCCTACCACCCGAAAGGCTCCCGCGCCCAAAGCTTTCCCACCCATTTTGCTCCGCCCTACAGTATAGCTCCAAGCCACCCAAGCCCTCATCTCATAATGAAGTGGTCTGAATGATCAGCGATTGCACTGTCCCTTTGTAGTCCTATGGTCCTATGTCATGATACTCTTGACAAAAAACATCCGACTGCACATCCATCAGTGCAATTTTTTCTACACAGGTCCTGCCACTCTTCGCCCTGTGAAGAGGATACAGTCAAAAATAGGAAACGTTGACATCGGCAAACAACCTCCAAGACGCATCTGCAAAGGACTGCTATAGCATCATGGAAGTTCGCCTCGAATCACAGATTCAACAACAATCTCACCGAATCTCACCATTGTGAGATGCCTCTCGATATGCGCAGCTGTGCTGAGTGCTCGGACCCACGACGGGTTCGGGCTGCTGCAAAAGCCAGTATAGGTTGGCGACACTCCAGCCTAGATCAGAAGTTTTATCCAAGCTGGAGTGACGGCAATCTATACCGTACCGGCTCCAATCGCTTCGATCGGGTTCCGCCTTGACCTTCTGAGGGCAGTACATTCTCATCAAAAATTGTCTTGAGGCCCCTATCTTCACAAAAACCTTAGACTCACAAGGCCCAGATCGAACCCCACCGAAACACTCAAAAGCCCTGGACATCTGCCGGGATTCGGGCAGTTTAGGGCCCTGAACCCCTAAACCC